CAAACATAAAGTAGCTACTTGTTACAGGCTCCATATATTGTCATCAATGAAAACTAAACCCACAAATTAGTGTATGAGGATCAAATGCTGAAAGCTTTAGAACTACAAAATTAATCCACTATATCACTGTATGCTTGTATACTTTATATACCAATAGTCTTATTATTTATTAGCAGTATTAGATACACCAATGGTTTAATGTGTGTGTGTGTTTATGTATTATTAGTATGGAGAGCAGTAGTGTTGAAGTCCTTCGTGTGAGTGGTCCAGATAAGTATCAGTTACATTTACACGAGTCTTGTGTACTGTCACTCAAGTTTGCTCACAGTGGTAAATGGTTTATAACTACAGGAAAGGATAATCTACTAAATGCATGGAGAACACCTTATGGTGCTAGTATATTCCAGGTACATAGTCCATTATTATTAACATTAACTGTACAGTGGTATTTGTACTTGTTACTATTATTATGTGTGTGTGTAGTCTTATTTATAATTATACATTAATGTACAATGAAATAATGATTGTATCCTATACATACAGATGTCTGAAAGCAGTAGTGTTTTAAGCTGTGACATATCAGTTGACAATCGTTTTATTGTTACTGGATCTGGAGACAAGAAGGCTACAGTGTATGAAGTTATACTATGAGGTATAGTTTGAATAGTTTACTATAGTATAAAAAGTAATTCTCATTATTTTATTTATTGTTGTGTCCAGTAGGTGATATTTAACTTGTAATGAATAATGCAATCTACACTTGAGTTTAGTCTCTTTGTTTACAGTACTGACTACAAAACTCTCATGTAATATAAAATCTCTAATAATTCCAGTTAAGATATTGTTTGTCATGTTTGCTATAATGCATTAACATTAATAATAATAATAATAATAATAATAATAATAGTAAAACTTGAATTCTTTTGATTGTAATATCTTGCATTACTATTATACCTGAGAGTTAGTTTGTGAGTACATTTCTTGTAAGTACTAGCTCAAGTACCTTTTATCATAATCACCAAGAGAGTACCAACTACCAATTATTATTAATTGGACTCACCACTAACTCACTAAGATATTCCAATGTATTCAATAGCAGGACCATCACCTCATGAGCAAGCAAAGAAGACATGTTTTAACCTGATGTATTCCTTGACATACAACCAACTAATAATTACTGTACTTATTGTTATAATGTTGGCAGTGATTGGATTTAATTTAGAAGGTGATATGGGTGTGGGTGATTACGAGTAATGAATATTGTTATTTAATATGGGTGTGGCTGGTTAATTAACATTCTTCACAATGTCTAAAGGTGAGTTTCCGAGAGTTTCTGTTTTCTTCCTCCTCTTTCTCATCATGTTTGTATTTTACAGGTATCTATCAACTGGGAGGGATATCAAATCACTCAGCTCCTGTAGTAGGAGAATCAGTGTTCCTGTGGGGAGGGAATAGGCCTGACTTACCTCTTGTTCATGATTCCCCACAAAAGAGGAAATTGTTGTCCACCATTGATAGACTGGAGTTTAGGACTGGTCATTGGTCCCCTCACGTGACCAGAGGAACGTCACCTCCTCTAGGAGCTATAGGATACTTCTGTACTACCAGAAACAATGAAATCTTCTTTTTTGGTGGTGACTGTGGACATGACGACTGCTTTCATAATGATGTCAACTCATTTAACAGTCTAACATATGAATGGAGTAATATAATACCAACCAGTGATGCTGTAATGAAGAGAGGGGGTGGTGGTATGGTGTGTATGGAGTCTATGGGTACAGAATACCTATTTATGATAGGAGGGGCTGGCTCTACACCCACTACATACCAATCACAGTATCAGTATATTCAGTTGGTTACTGGTCGTATTAGTACTAACGAACAGAATTTATTAAATTTATCAACAAGTAAGTATTTATTGATTAATACATATATTAACAATCTATATTCTGCTTGTGTTGACATATTTTTCAATCATTATTTTGTTAACATTTGCATATTAAGTAGGTGCATGTAAATATTGAAGGAGTGAACTTTAATAATTATTTTACTCCATTTATGAATGATATTGTCAAATTTTGTCATATTGAGCCACAACTGACATGTATCTGTGCAAAGTGGAACAAAATGACAAATGTTTTAAAATTAATCAAAATTAATTTTCAACCATTTTTTGCTACTATGCATGTATACGCGTATGTACACGATATTTGCAGTGTTATACTTAATAATTCTAATTATACTATCTATTTCTATTTAGGACAATGGATTATTCCAACTATTAGTGGTCAGTGTTGTCCTCCTACTGCTGCCTTTGCTATTCAAAAGATTACTAATAATAAAGTTGTCATGTTTGGTGGATCAGTGACTAGTCATGATGGTAGAAGCATATCTGTTAATACAGTCTATACATGTCAACTGGAGTCTAATATTACAATAGTAAGTTATCTTATTACTGTATGGGATGTATTTATTGCATGGATCAATCATGTTTGGACATTAATACATGTACATACGGGTATAGCTTGTAATTTGAAAAATGTATTTAAATGAGTATTACATGTAGATTTGGTTTAATACTTTATTTTAATTGAAACTGTACAAGTATCACTAGTATTAACATAATTATTTTATAATTAAACGGACAAAATCTTAAGTATAATAGAACAGTGTACATGTACATGCATTAATACATTTTATAATATTGATTAATTCATTTTATCTAGCACTGGGAGAGTATTAAGGGACCAGTAGTACCTGCTAGTGTACAGTGGCCTGTGGGGAGACGTTTTCATGCTATTACTAGTATCATCAGTGACTCACCTACACTAGTAATGATAGGTGGAGAGGGTAATGGTGGTCAACTAGTAAATGATAGTTGGTTACTGAATACTAGTCAGTACCAGTGGAGTAAGGTATGTGTATTATGTTATTAGTTTAGAG